GACAGCACCCAGGGAAGGGCTGGAGCTGTGCCAGGGCAGGCTCAGGTTGGATCTCAGGCAAAGGTTCTTCCCCCAGAGGCTGGTTGGGCACTGCCCAGGCTCCCCAGGGCAGTGGGCACAGCCCCAAGGCTGCCAGAGCTCCAGGAGGGTTTGGTTGATCCTCTGGGGCACAGGGGGGGACTCTTGGGGCTGGGCCTGTGCAGGGCTGAGGGTTGGACTGGGTGATCCTTGTGGGTGCCTTCCAGCTCAGCATATTGTGGGATTCTGTGACAGACCAGTTGTTCCTGGGCTGGAGGCACCACACTGTTCCATTAAGTTGTTTCGGCATTACAAGGATGGAGCTGGCTTGCAGCCACGTCAGGGAGCAGGATCAGGATGGAACTCCCTGATTGCTCAGGGCTGGCACAGGGAGAGCCTTTGGGAGTGCCCCCGTTCCGCCACACGCTCCCAAAAAACCATCAGGGTGATTGGCACGAGGTCGGAGCCGTCCCGGCTGAGCATGGCGGCTCCTCTGAGCCCGGGGCTTTCCCAGGAGCTCCGACAGCCGGGATGACATTGGAGAGATCCTGCTCCTGCTCCACCTCTGTCCCAAGGCACATGTCCCGACACCACCGCCCTGGGTGGGGCAGTTAATGATTTTGGGAGGGAGGTGAGGCTGCTGGAAAGCACGTCCATCACCCGCTCGGCTCCGCGTGTCCCCGTGCCGGGCGGGCGAGGCCGCGCTCTGCCAGCTGAAAAATGAACCAGAGGGGGGGAAAAACCAGCACTGTGAAGTGAAAATCCATCCTAAATAAGTTCCAAAGAGCCAAGATGAGCGCATTGTGATGTGAAGATGTGCTTGATTCCTGCCAGCTCAAACCATTCCAGGTGGGAATACAAACAACTGGCGGCAGCAGCTTATTAGCGGTGATATATCAGTGTCCAGGTGCTGGTTTGTCTCCTGTCAACAGCAGCTGCTTATCAAGCACATTTCCCACTCTATTTCTGGGGAAAAAAAGTCTAAAATTGATGTTCAGAAGGCGCTGCTGATTTTATCAGGAGCTGCTTTAAGTGGGCACTGGTTGTGTCGAGCACGGGGATGAGGCAGGAAAGGATTGGGTTCAGTCGTATTTATAAGGAGGGAGAACCATAAATTCTGGGAAGGGTTTTAAATCTTGGTGCCCAGGGCAGGAGATGCTGGTCATCCCTGGTGGTGCTTTCCTTTCTCTAAGCAGACATTTAACACAGTGATTGAAAGCCCTGTGGCATCTCCAAGGTCTCTGATAGTAAATATAAGGAAAAATGGATTAATGCTTAAAAAGGGGGGGGGAATACCTTTATATACTTTTGCCTTCCATCCAGAAATATTGGTTTTAAACTCTCAGGCATCTGTGTTCTTTAAGAGGAAGCCCTTAGGTTTTTTTTAAAGAAGAAAGACTTTTAGGTGTTTAAACCTTAAGAATAATAGAAAACAAAGGTCATGGTCTCAGTTGGCCCGAGAAGGTTCAGCTTCCAGGTTTTCAAAGGTGAAATATAGATTTTTACCTTCAAAAAGTTTTGGGCCTGAGTGAATCCTGTGTGGAAAAGGAAGGAGCAGGGAAGGCTGAGCCAGAAGCTGGTACTGACCTTGGTGGCTGGACCCCCTTTACCATCTCTGCAACGAGTTGTGGTAAAAAATAGTCACAAAGAAGGTGCTGAGGTGCCACTTGGAGGCACTTGGGTGGTGAAGACTCGATGAGTCCTGGTGCTGTCAGGCCCTGATGATTAAATTACTTCTCCCATCCCACCTTCCCCGTGTTGGGCTCATTAACTTGACATTTCATCTCGATTATTTGCTCCTCTTCACGCCCTCCCAGGGGTGTCACTTGTCATTCACAGCAGGTCTGGCTGGACAAGGAGTTCCTGCACAAAGCAAGTGTAGAAAACCCTTTAGGTGCCTCCACGTGGGCTGATCTGCCCCTTGCTTGGCTTCCAAGGTGGTTGTTCCTCTGCAAGTTTTGGCAGTGGGGCAGAAAAACCTTCCTGGGGTTTGTCCTTGGTGTGGTTGGCAAGGTGGAGGGAAGGGATGGCATCCAATGGGAATGGACAGGCTGGAGATGGGAGCACTGCAAAGCTCAGGAAGGTCATCAAGGTCCTGCACGTGGCTTGGTCAGACTGGAGAAGAGAAGGCTTCAGGGAGAGCTGAGAGCCCCTGGCAGGGCCTAAAGGGGCTCCAGGAGAGCTGGAGAGGGACTGGGGACAAGGGATGGAGGGACAGGACACAGGGAATGGCTTCCCAGTGCCAGAGGGCAGGGATTGATGGGATTTTGGGAAGGAATTCCTGGCTTGGAGGGTGGGGAGGCCCTGTCCCAGGTTGGGCAGAGAAGCTGTGGCTGCCCCTGGATCCCTGGAATTGTCCAAGGCCAGGCTGGAGCAACCTGGTCTAGTGGAAGGTGTCCCTGCCCATGGCAGGGGGTGGAATGGGATGGTCTTCAAGGTCCCCCCAACTCAAACCATTGTGATTCACCTCCAAGGCTTCTCCAAGGACTGCAGTGCTCCGTGCAAACTCCTGCTGATGTGGAGCGTGAGCTACTCCTTGGGTTTTTCTCCTGCTCATCCAGGAAGGGTGAGGAGCCCTGTCCCCCCATGGCCAGTGTGGGTGGGAGCCCCAGGGTGTGGCTGCAGGGCTTTGCTTTCTCATCTCTGCTTCCATCTGGGTCTTCTGCTCAGGGGCACATGGAGGGGAACCCACACAAGGAGCAGTTGAGGCATTTGGTCTGTTCAGCTGGAGAGGAGGAGACTGAGGGGAGACCTCACAGAATCCCAGAATATCCTGAATTGGAAGGGACCCCCAAGGCCCATCCAGTCCAACCCTCAGCCCTGCACAGGCCCAGCCCCAAGAGTCCCCCCCTGTGCCCCAGAGGATCAGCCAAACCCTCCTGGAGCTCTGGCAGCCTTGGGGCTGTGCCCACTGCCCTGGGGAGCCTGGGCAGTGCCCAACCAGCCTCTGGGGGAAGAACCTTTGCCTGAGATCCAACCTGAGCCTGCCCTGGCACAGCTCCAGCCCTTCCCTGGGTGCTGTCCCTGGTCACCACCCTCATGGTAGTCTGCAGCTTCTGTGTGAGGGGCAGAGGAGGGGCAGCTCCAACCTCTGCTCTCTGTGAGCAGGGACAGGCTCCCCAGGGCAGTGGGCACAACCCCAAGGCTGCCAGAGCTCCAGGAGGGTTTGGACAACGCTCTCGGGGATGGGGGGGGATTGTTGGGGTGTCTGGACAGGGCCAGGAGTTGGATTTGATCCCTGAGGGTCCCTCCCGGCTCAGGATATTCTGTGATTCTGTGAAAGCCACTCTGCCCCAGCAAAAACTCGAGTGTCTGTTGGAAGTAATGAAGAAAAATCACGCTGGGGCCGTGTCGCGCTTCCCGCTGCGCTCGGGGATGAGGAATCGGCACGAGCCGTGTTTTAAATAACCAAATGTGTCAGAAAAGCACAAATAAATGATGAAAAGCAAAAGGAAAAAAAAAAAAAAAAAAAACAAAAAAAACCCACAACAAACCAGGGCTCTGCTAAACTTTATGGTTGCTGTGCTTCATCTTCATTTTAGTGCAGGTGTTTGTTTGGAGGTGAGTGATGAACGTTCCCGAGCCTGGGAGCGGCTCGGAGCAGCGGAGATGGAGGACCCTGCTCAATAATTCACGGCCTGGCTCTTTTTTTTTTTTTTTTTTCCAAATAAAAAATGCATTTTTTTTTCCCCTCCTGCTGAAGATGAATGTGGCCTGAAGACCCAAAAGAACTTTGCAGAGCTGGTGGTAAAAAAAAACAAACACACTTCCCAGCACACGCATCAAAGGCTTGCTCATCCCTCCGTGCCGCGGTAACGAAACCGGTGATGCTGAGCTGGAGACACGGGGTAAACTTTAATCCCAGTTTAAACACAACTTGTGGAGCGCCTGTAGAAGTGGGTGAGATCTCCTAAGCCACGCCTTGGGTTCAGAAAAGCGTGTTAAAGGGCTTTTGTGTGTGTTTGAGGACATAATCTCCTGCTGGAGCTGTTGTCAGGGGAGCACCGCGATCCGCGAACGTCGCCGTGGGGCTGTGCACGCAGACATTGGGATTGTTCCCGAGGCTTTGGGTGGAAATCTGCTCTTGTGCCAAAGGATTTCCCCATTTTTAGGGGTTTGATATGTGGTGCAGACCTGTGCAAACCTTACCTGTCAAGAAGAGAACCAAGCTGTGGCTCCTCCATCCCTGGAAGTGTCCAAGGGTGGGTTGGACAGGGCTTGGAGCAACCTGGGATAGTGGAGGGTGTCCCTGCCCATGGCAGTGGGGTGGAAATGAATGGCCTTTAAAATACCTTCCAACCCAAACCATTCCAGGATTCTGGAGCCCCTCTGCTCTGGAACCAGGAGAAGAGGGGCTACAGGAGCTGTGGGGTGTTCTAGGGCAGTGTCCTCACTGTCCCTGTGAGCTGGGGGTGTTACAGGGCAGTGTCCTCACTGTCCCCATATGAGCTGTGGGGTGTTCTAGGGCAGTGTCCTCACTGTCCCCATATGAGCTGTGGGGTGTTATAGGGCAGTGTCCTCACTGTCCCCATATGAACTGGGTCAGAGGCTGCAGGAGCTGTGTTGTGTTATAGTTCTCCCCGGCTGTTTGTGACTGGAAGCTACTCCAGGACTTCTCCATGTGTATTCCAGAGGCTTCCATGAGGGATACGACCCCACCTCACCTCGGTGAGGTTCCACCCATCCCTTCCCCCTCCACACACACACACACACATACTCCCCACAAGGTGATTCTGACCCAAGAATCACTGATCTGGTGTCTAACAGGAGAGCCTGGGGGCAGCCTGGGGGATGATGAGTTTTTGGGCCACAATGTGATGGTTAGATATGATAATTAGCCATTATTATAAGACTGTAACAGCTACTCTGTGTGCTTGTGCTAAATGTCCTTTATGTACCTGCTCTCCATCCGACTTCACCCAACAGTGCAGGGAATTCTTCCTTGGGTTTTTGGCCTCACCAGGTGTCCCTTTTCCCTGCAGGGGAAGGTGGCCCAGACCGCCTGCATGTCTGCCTGCAAACACCTCTCGACGTCGCTGCTGCAGCTGCTGCTGGAGGCCGAGGTGAGGCAGCTCACGCTGGGGGCCCTGCAGCAGTTCAACCTGGATGTGGAGGAGTGTGAACGTGAGTGCCCGGTCACCCCCTTCCCCCTTGCCTTGTCTTGCTCCTTTTCTGTCGTGCTGTGGGATTTCCAGGCGCGCGGACCGGGAATGGTGAACGCCCCATGGAGCTGGGGATCGCTCAGGGAAGTGTCATAGAATCAGAGAATCATAGAATCACAGAATCATAGAATCACAGAATCATAGAATCACAGAATCATAGAATCACAGAATCAGAGAATCACAGAATCATAGAATCACAGAATCAGCTGGGTTGGAAGGGACCTCCAAGATCATCCAGTCCAACCCTTGATCCAACCCCACTGTGGTTCCCAACCCATGGCACTGATGCCACATCCAGTCTGTCCTTAAACACCTCCAGGGACGGAGAATCCACCCCTTCCCTGGGCAGCCCATTCCAATGGCTGAGCACCCTCTCTGCAAAGAAATTCTTTCTAATCTCCAACCTAAACCTCCCCTGGCACAGCTCAAGACCCAGCCCTCTTGTCTTGCTGATGGTTGCCTGGGAAAAGAGCCCAACCCCCCCCTGGCTCCCCCCTCCTGTCAGGGAGTTGCAGAGAGTGAGGAGGTCTCCCCTGAGCCTCCTCTTCTCCAGGCTGAACAGCCCCAGCTCCCTCAGCCTCTCCTCACAGCACTTGTGCTCCAGTCCCTTCCCCAGCCTCGTTGCTCTCCTCTGGACCTGCTCCAGCCCCTCCATGTCCTTCCTGAGCTGAGGGCCCAGAACTGGACACAGCACTCCAGGGGTGGCCTCACCAGTGCTGAGTCCAGGGGCAGAATCACTTCCTTGGACCTGTTGGCCACACTGTCCTCAGGGCAGAGGAAGCTCAGCAAATTCTGAGAGATCGAAGTTTTGGTCTTCCTTTTCCTCTTTATTGCTGTGTTGGTGCTCTGCAGAGCATCCCTACTTTTTGAGGTGGAGTGGTTTAAAAAATAGGAGATATTTGAGTGCAGGAGTTTATTCGAGAGTTTGAGTTTATTTGTGACTCTTTCTGAGAAGCTCTGGAACCAGGCTGGGAGAGCTGGGGGGGTTCCCCTGGAGAAGAGAAGGCTCCAGGGAGAGCTGAGAGCCCCTGGCAGGGCCTAAAGGGGCTCCAGGAGAGCTGGAGATGGACTGGGGACAAGGCATGGAGGGAGAGGACACAGGGAATGGCTTCCCAGTGCCAGAGGGCAGGGCTAGATGGGATATTGGGAAGGAATTGTTGGCTCTGAGGTTGGTGATGCCCTGTCCCAGGTTGCTCAGAGAAGCTGTGGCTGCCTCTGGGTCCCTGGAAGTGTCCAAGGCCAGGTTGGACAGAGTTTGGAGCAACCTGCTCCCCAGAAGTTCTGGTTCTCTCCCGACCTCAACCAATCGTCTTCTCTTCCTGCTGCAGGGATTTTTTTTTCCTCACAATGAAGCCTTTTTGCAAACTCAGTGTTATGGAAAAAAAGAGTCCTTGGGACAAAATGACAACATCTGCTCAGAGGTGTGTGTGGAGCGTTGTGGTGGTTTTGCTCTCAAACCTGCTCATTTTGGGTCATCTGGTGCTCACCTGAATTAGGACTGAAATCCTAAGGTTGCCTTGAAGTTGCTGCTTGTCCTACTCAGTAAAAGGGTTAAAAAAACAGAGCTCGAAGCAGACAAAATACTTTTTTTCATCCTATTTTTATAATTAAGCTAAAGCAGAGTGCACACGCTTGTGCACAGGATCCTCTTTGTGAGAGGGATGGATTTATTAATGGGATTAGTGTTGGGATGGATTGGTGACCGTGGCTGGTGAAAACCCAGAGCTTGATAGAGCTGATAAGAAGTTCAGGAAATCTTTGCTAATGTATTTGGGGGACTTTTTGGATGTAACTTGTTTATCACAGAATGAAGGAATGGTTTGGGTTGGAAGGGACCTCAAAGCTCATCTCATTCCAACCCCCTGCCAGGGACACCTTCCACTAGCCCAGGTTGCTCCAATCCCTGTCCAACCTGGTCTTGGACACTTCCAGGGATGGGGAATGACTCAGTGCCATCCCCTGTGTTGGTTCCATCATCACCTGGCCCTTCCCACTCTCCAAATCCCTTCTTCCACCCTTTATCAAACATCTTCCTGACTGTGTTTCCCTTCGGCTGCACCCACCAACACCGAGATTGAAATTCAGTGCTCAGAAACATCCCCCAGTAAGATTTGTGGTGTTTCTAACGAGCATATTTTTATTTTTTAATGTCCATTTCCAGTTTTCCAGCCCTCAGCCGAACAACCTGGGAGAAAGATCCCTGGTTAATGAGTCATATCCCAATCCTGCAGTTGTATCACGTGTCAGAACGCAGGCGAGGCCTTATTTTTCTTTCGGCAACCCCAAATTCCTCCTGTCTAATTTGGGTCCCATCAGCTCTTTGGGAGCAGCTGAATCCCAATCAGTGCCCACAGAGGGACAGGAGATGTAGCTGGAAATAATAGGGCCCATTTGTCATTAATAATTCCTTCTGTTTGGGCTGCAGACACGCGCACAGATCCCGGCAGTTTTCCGCCCCATCGGGAACGGGGATCACTCAGCAGCAGCTCTTCCCCGAGAGCTCCCGCTGCAAGGAAAAACAGATGGCATTTGATTCCGGGTTTAAAAGCACAGTTCCTTAAATTCCAGTTGGTTTTGGGAGGCAAGACCAGGAGCACTCAAGACATTCAGGAGCAGGTGACTCCAACCTGGGACAGGTGACCTGCTGCCCCATCCCGAGGTGCCGGAACGGAGACGGATTCCGGAGCTGGAATCTTCCAATCCATCGCTGTCAGTCCCACAACATTCAACCCAGACTAAGCCTTTTTCTTCCTTTTCAGCAGTAAAAATGTCTGGTGTCTTTGCCTGACACCAGGAATCATTTTACTTCTCTTTTTTTGGGCCGCAATTCCTCAAGTTTTTAATGTCAGGATGAGCCAATTCCCAGAGTGAACTGGTGCATTCAGAAAATATGTTTCAATTTGGTTTTTTCTCGGTTTTTTTCTCGTTTATTTTTTAGTGTTTTATCTGAAAGCACAGGTGTGAATCTCAGCATCTTTATTACACCACCCTTGAATCTCAGCATCTTTATTGTACCATATTTAACTTCATGCCTCTTCCTCCATCCTCTTCCTCCCCCCATATCCCCAAACCTTTCTTAGTTTATTAATTTTATCATATTAAAATAGGATTTCAGAGCTGTTTGCAGCACTTCCAGTGAGTGCTGTGATGTGGGAACGGGGCTACAGGATTTTCATCCTGGACTTTATCAGGCTTTTGTTTAAGTCTCTTGTGATGCCAGAGGAATAATCTGACTAAGAGAAGGGTGAGGCAAATTAATAGAAGGACTTATTTGTATATTAGGAAGAGTTTGTAGGTGGTGAAGATATTTTTGTGCATATTAGAAGCAGATATGAAGCACATGACAGGCAAATGGGTTTGTATTCACAATCAACAATAATAGAGGTGAAAAAGGTGGGGGTTTAGGCTGAAAAGAAGACACTGGTGAATTAATTCTCCAGATTTGTGGGTTTGTAAAATATTTCCTGATTTATAACTCATTTGCTGCCCCATCAACATGGAAAGGGAAGGGCTGCCTGGATTGTTGGCATCAGACTGAGCTTTGGCACCAGAGGTGCAAGAACTGATGGGAAAGGGAGGGGATTCTGCCCCCCTGGCCCTGTCTCAGGTGAGACCCCCCTGCAGAGCTGCTCCAGCCCTGGGAACAACAGCACAAGGACGTGGAGCTGCTGCAGAGAGTCCAGAGGAGGCCCCGGAGCTGCTGCCAGGGCTGGAGCCCCTCTGCTCTGGAGCCAGGCTGGGAGAGCTGGGGGGGGTTCACCCGGAGAAGAGAAGGCTCCAGGGAGAGCTGAGAGCCCCTGGCAGGGCCTGAAGGGGCTCCAGGAGAGCTGGAGAGGGACTGGGGACAAGGGATGGAGGGACAGGACACAGGGAATGGCTTCCTATTGGAAAAGTGAAGGTTTAAATTGGATATTGGAAAGAAATCCTTGTTTGTGAGGGTGGTGAGGAACTGGAATAAATTTCCCAGAGAAGCTGTGGCTGCCCCTGGATCCCTGGAAGTGTCCAAGGCCAGGTTGGACAGGACTTGGAGCAACCTGGTCTAGTGGAAGGTGTCCCTGCCCATGGCAGGGGGTGGGACTGGATGATCTTAAAGGTCCCTTCCAACCCAAACCATTCCATGATTCTGTGATTAGTTTTTCCAGACTGTCCCAAATACAAGATGAGCCCAGTTTGGATGAGCTGCCTGCATGGGTGACTTTAAAGGACATCTTTCCATCATGAACAAGAGATCCTGATGCCTGTACAAGGACATTGTTCAGCTCATCCCCGGGACCTCTCAGACCCTCTGTTTTCCCAGTGGGTTTTGGTTCCCTGGGAGGATGAGAGGAGCACATCCTACATTCCTTCCTTCCCACCTCTCCGCCTGTCAAAACCCAGCCCTCACTGGAAAACAAAACTGCCTTTTCCTGCTGTTAGAGTGGGATTATCTGTGCTGACAGCAGAGGTGTTTTCCCATCTTCCCAGAGCTGCTGTTTGTGCTCTTGGAAATGGGAAGGGAGATTTATGGGTGCTCCAAGTGACCACGGGCACGGAACTGGGAGCTTCTGCTCCACGGCTCTGCCACCTTCCCGTGCTTGGATTTATCCTCCTTTGTTTCTCCCTGAATTTATACCACCTTCATTTCCCTCAGCTGACCTTTCTTAGAGGTTGCAGAGCACTCAGAGTAGGAAGAGGGTGATTCCTGGTGAATTAGTGCCTATAAATATTCACAGCTCCTGACTCCCCATCTGTGAGCTTCCAAAAAACCGTGCCCTTTCTGTCAGGATGCTGATGGGAATCTTTGGACAATGCTCCCTACTTTAGCACAGGTCTTTGCAAGCCTGACTTGGGCAAAGCCTGGGAGTCTGCATGATGACAAAAAGGAATTATCTCTCTGCAGCATTTTGACTTTGCCCCTGAGCTGAGAACTCCTGCTTCCTTCCACTCCCTCCAACCACCACCTGATTGTGGGCCCTTCATCTG